TGTTGTAGCTGACGCTGGAAGGTCAGCTCAGGGGATGATATTTTGGTGATTTGAGTGGTTAATGTTTATTTTGACTTTATAGTTTATTTTGTGATTTCATAGTTTAAATGTGTATTTCTGTATGGTGAATTTCTTAATTTGTTTGCCGTTTGTATTTTATTATTATTCTATCGTTGAAGTTGAGGTCATGTGATCCTGTGTGTGCTGATTAATTCAGCTGGACGTGTTAGCGTCAATGTAATGATGTGATGTGAAACTAAGACCGCAGGATAGTGCTCCTGACTTAAATCTACTGTTGGTTACCAGGCGAATACGGTAAATGTTTTAATACTTTGTATATTATGTTGGTTTGTGTTTGTAGTGGTGTTGTGTGTAAAATTATGGTTTGGTTTTCCTTTGTGTCTAGTTTTCACGGTGTCTCTGGAATAAATAAACAAAAATGGACATCAGTACTTCGGAAGCGTGGACTGTTTTGTAATCAGCGAGTAGTTACAGTGAAAACGTAACCTAATTCCATTCTACCGACTACGAGATGTGCTTTGGCGGTGATCCTCCAGTTTCGGCGAGCAGCCTGCCACTTCCAAGTCTCTGCACGCGGATGAACTGTTTTCCGTGGTGATCGCCGATGCTGCTGTCTTCGGTGTGCGGATCTGTTGTGCCTTCCTTGGACTTCGCGTGCCGTTCGATTGTGTCCCGTGGTGAACTTAAAGGACTTGGCGTGCAGTGTTTGCCTTCTATGATGGACCGTTGCGAGCTTTAGTGTGCAAATCTGCTACATGACCGTCAATGGAGGATCTTCTCACGCAACTTTGTGTCAGCTGCGTATCAGCAGGTTAGATGTGCAATGTCAAATGATCCTTTTTGTAAATGATGGATAGTTTTAAGTAAAAAAAAAAAAAAAAAAAAAAAAAAAGTTCCAGAGATAACTGATTCTTAACTGCATGATTGTAATGTGTTTAAGATTTCTTAAGTAGATAAATGTCTAAGTGTTAAGGGCATTTAAGTTAATTTGTTACTCAGTCTAAGATTGTTTCACTACTATCTATTGCGATCATAAACGTCATATTTTGTACTATTTGTAAAAGCACAAATTTTTAGAGAAAAATGTCAGTCCAGGGTGAGTCAGCTGAACAAAATGATTCTCCATTATCAGAGCAAGTAGATTTATTGGCAGAGAATTTGGATGGTGTTGTGAGGCCTCGACATGTATCATGTGCATCATGCACCGAGAAATCTGAGGCAAGGCGTAAAGAGCTTAATTCTGTGTTATTAGAGACGACTGAAATCAGAAAATCCTCCCGTGATAAACGTTTAACTCCAAAGATGCAGGAGTTAAAAGAGCAAGAACTGATTCAAAAGGAGAGGAAGTTTAAATCTGTATATGAGAAATGGAAGTCTCAAGCCAGAGATGTTCGTTCAAAGTTAAAACGTGAGTGCTCTGAAAAAGACTTGTGTGACATGATGGATGAGGTTGAGAGGCAAGAGTTTGAATTGAAAGAGTTATATGATAACATGCGACTCCAAGCACCACCAAGCCAAGAAACTAGGAGAAAAATTGATGCATGTTCGGCTGTAACGGCAGACTTGATGAAATTAATGAGGGTACGCATGGTGGAAGATGGCATAGAATTTGATGCTGAAGCTGAGAGAGCAAGGTTACGTATGCTACTGGACTGTGAGTACGCTAGGTCTATATATGGATCCACGGTGGGTAGAGCTACGGTCGTTAGCAATCATTCTAAACCTGCATCGGAGTCTGAAAGCATTTCAGCTAAGAGAGCAGAGACTGCCGCGCTGTTGGCCGCGAAAAAGGCTGAAGTGGAAATGGAGGCTGACATCGAAGCACAAAGGCAGCAACTGAAGAAGCTGGAAGATCGTAGAGACATTGAGGTTATGGAGGCAAGGCTCAGAGTGTATACTGAGGAGGAGTCAAGGATAAAAAGTCAACGGGTGTGATTCAGTATGTGACGTGAGTAACCACAGCCCCTGGTTCCTAACACATGTTTGAATCAGCAAGTTACAAGAAGTGAAGTATCCTTAGTACAGGCCTTACAAGGGTCTATGGCTCTATCTCGACTCCCAGCTCCAGAACCCTTTGTATTTTATGGCGACCCATTGAAGTTTATAGAATGGAGCACCACCTTTAAAGCTCTAATAGAGGGACGGTGCTCAAATCCCGCAGATAAGCTCTTCTACTTACAGAAGTATGTTGACGGTGAGGCAAGATCGGCTCTGGAAGGTAGCTTCTACAGGAAAGATGAACAGGCCTATCAGCAAGCGTGGGAGAAGTTGAATGCCAGATATGGTCACTCCTTTGTGGTGCAACGTGCCTTTAGAGAGAAACTTAATAGGTGGCCTAAGATTGGTGCAGCCGAGTACGTCAAGTTAAGAGAGTTCAGTGACTTCCTACAATCATGTAGTGATGCTTTGCCGCATATTAAGGGTCTTCAAGTGCTGAATGATTGCGAGGAAAATCAGAGGATACTGGCCAAGCTTCCTTTCTGGGTGACAAGCAGGTGGAACCGTTATGTCACAGAACAGCTGGATAAAGACCAAGATTATCCAAGCTTTAATCAGTTTGCCTCATTTGTATCAAAAGAAGCACGCATAGCGTGCAATCCTGTGTCATCATTGTATGCACTAAAGACTGTTGAAGAGAAGCCATCTAAGGAAATAAAGCGTTCAAGAGTAAACACGTTTGCAACCACTGCGAAGGCTTTAGATGCAGCATATGCTACGGCTGAATTCAGTGACCTTACCGACCGTGAGACTGAAGAGACTTGTAGGAAGAAAACTACCTTTGTGAGTGGCCTAAATTCAGTTGAATGTATGTTCTGTGATGATCGTCATTCTATTCAGGAATGTCCAAAACTAATGGAAAGGGTAGTAGAGGAAAAGAGGAAGTTTGTCATGGAGAATAAGTTGTGCTTTGCATGTTTAAGAAGAGGGCATGGCTCCAAAGACTGCAGAAATAGAGCTGTGTGTGGGTTATGCAAGAAGCGCCACCCCACTTCATTACATGAAGATCGTCAGCCAGAAAACAAGTCGTCTCCACGGATAGCTTTGCAGACGGAAGAGAATGCATTCTCTCTAACATGCTGTACGAAGGGTGGAGAAGGTGATATAACATCTATGATTGTCCCAGTATGGCTGTCTTTATCTAACTCAGAGTCTGAAGTCTGTGTATATGCTTTACTAGACACCCAGAGTAGTCACACATTTGTGGATCAGGAAGTGTGTGAAAGCTTGCAGGCATTAATGGAACCGGTAAAACTAAAGCTTTCCACAATGATGGAAAAAGACTCTGTTGTAATGAGTCACAGTGTAAGTGGACTTCAGGTTAGAGGATTTTCTTCGGACATCCCTATCTGTCTGCCTCCTGTTTACACAAGAGACTTTATTCCCTTTGTGCCCACACATATTCCAACCTGCGAAACAGCTAAACGGTGGAGACACCTAGAGGTGATCGCTAATGAAATGCCCGTACGGATGGATTGTGGAGTAGGTCTATTGATCGGCTATGATTGCTCCAGAGCACTGATGCCACGACAGGTCATCACTGGTGGGGATGAAGAGCCTTATGCCATCAAGACGGACCTTGGCTGGAGCATCATAGGAGGAACTCCAGGATGTGTAAACTCCAAGTTTGGGACTGGTTTATGCCATCGCATATCAGTCAGAGAACTCCCCTCCGTGACACCTGCCACTGTTATTAGGGCACTTGAGCTGGATTTTATAGATATTTCATCCGGTGAAAAGAGTAAATCACAAGATGATATTCAGTTCCTGCAGGTAGTAAAAGAGGGTGTCTATCAAAATGAGTATGGCCATCTTGAGATGCCTCTTCCTTTTAAAATACGGCCTCAGCTTCCAAATAATAGGAGTCTTGCATTAGGACGGTTGAAGCACCTCAAGAGGAAACTGGACAAGAATCCTCAATTCAGACAGGACTATGTGAAGTTTATGGAAGATGTCTTCAGAGATGGAGATGCGGAAATAGCAAATGAGCAACCAGACCCGGGTAATGTGTGGTATATTCCCCATCAAGGCGTCTATCACCATAGGAAACCAAATAAGATCAGGATAGTCTTTGACTGCGCCGCTAGGTATGAAGGTACCGCGTTAAATGACCATCTATTGACAGGGCCTGACCTTACCAATGGATTGACTGGAGTGCTTTGCCGTTTCCGTAAACACCCTATCGCTGTCATGTGTGACATTGAGAAAATGTTTCATAGATTTCATGTTATTAAGAAGATCGGGACTATCTGCGTTTTCTGTGGTGGGCAAATGGGGATACCGACGCAGAACCCAGAGAATATCGCATGAAAGTACACCTTTTTGGAGCATCATCTTCTCCAGGCTGCGCCAATTATGGCCTGAAGTATCTCGCCAATATGAATGAGAGTGAGTATCCTTTGGCAGCGGGGTTTATCAGGAACCATTTTTATGTGGACGACGGCCTTGTAAGCCTGGAATCTGTTGAGGTAGCAATCAAGCTGGTGAAGGAAGCTCAGGCCGTGTGTGCTAAGGGAAAGCTGCATCTTCACAAGTTTATTTCAAACAACCGAGAAGTGTTGGAGTCAATCAGTCCGTGTGATCATGCTGCTGAAGTAAAGAACGTTGACTTTCACATGACTTTCTTCCAGTACAAAATGTCTTGGGCGTAAGGTGGGATGTAGAGAATGATGTATTCACATTCAAGGTTGTTCTTGAAAGGAAACCTGCGACACGACGTGGAATTCTGTCCATGGTGGCTTCAGTCTATGACCCTTTGGGGTTTTTGGCCCCATTTGTCATATCTGGCAAGAAGGTCCTGCAGGAGATGTGCCAGAAGGGCATCAGTTGGGATGAACCGTTACCCTCTGAACTGAGACCAAGGTGGGAGAGTTGGTTGAATGATCTGCCCAACCTAGGGAAGGTACAGATTCCACGATGTTTCGCCCCTCCAAATTTTGGGCCGATTCTGAGCATTGAATTGCACCACTTTTCTGATGCTAGCAGTCAAGGCTATGGGCAGTGCTCTTATATCAGATTGATGAGTGAAAGTAAGATACATTGTGCTTTAGTTATGGGTAAAGCAAGAGTTGCTCCCATCAAAGTTGTCACTATACCAAGATTAGAGTTAACTGCAGCAGTCATCTCTGCTGCTGTTAGTAGTACGTTGAAAGAGGAGTTGGCACTCAGAGTCGATAGAGAATATTTCTGGACAGATTCTCAAGTGGTCCTTGGCTATATCAACAATGAAGCAAGAAGATTTCATGTCTTTGTTGCTAACCGGGTCCAGAGAATTCGGGAGGCCACCGATCCAAGACAGTGGTATTACATCAATACAGAAGAGAATCCTGCTGACCATGCCTCGAGGGGCCTTACTGTAGAGGAGTTGATCAGTTCAAAACTGGTTGACAGGGCCCAGATTCCTCTGGGAGAAAGAGATATTTGCTAAACAAGGAACGTTGGAGCTGTCGGTGGGAGACCCGGAGGTCAAGGCTGTCCAGGTATTGAGGACCGAGATTATGACTGAGGTGGATTTTCAACAGCGACTATCACGACTATCAAAATGGACTACAGCTGTGAATGTCATTGCTCGCATCCAAAGATTAGCAAGGAAGATGAAGACTCCAACATCTTTAAATGTCGAGGAGAGGAGGAGGGCCTCATTTACTCTTATTCAGCTTGCACAACAGGATGCTTTCAAAGAAGAGTTGAATGTACTCAGTCAGGACTCGGGCAGGCTGCCTTCAAGCCATCCTCTGTATCAGCTTGATCCATTCATGCAGGATGGAATAATGAGGGTGGGAGGACGATTGAGGAGGGCATGTGCTCCTCTTGAATTACGATACCCAGCAATCCTTCCAAGTAATGGTCTGATCACATACCTTGTATTGGCACACTATCATCAAAAAATTCAACATCAAGGCAGGGGACAGACTCTGAATGAACTGCGAGCCAATGGCTTTTGGATCATGGGTGGCAGTAAGGTGGTAGCGCACTACATACGACAGTGTGTTCCTTGTAGGAGAGCACGTAGGCCGCCAGAACAACAACGGATGGCGGACTTGCCCCATGACCGAACTGACCCCTCCCCGCCATTTACCTATTGTGGCATGGACTGTTTTGGTCCTTTTTACACCAAGCAAGGTCGTAAAACACATAAACGATATGGCCTTCTTTTTACTTGTCTTTGCTCCAGAGCAGTCCACGTAGAGATGTTGGAGGACATGACGACTGATGCATTCATCAACGCTTTACGGTGTTTTCTAGCCATCCGTGGAGCTGTCAGACATATTAGATCAGACCAAGGAACAAACTTCATGGGGGCAAGGAATGAGTTGAAGAAAGCTTTAAGAGAAGTGAGTAAAGAGAGAGTGGCAGCATATCTGGCAGAGAAGCAGTGCGATTTCTGCCTGAATGCACCCAGTTCAAGTCACGCTGGAGGTGTCTGGGAACGGCAGATTCGAACTGTAAAGGGTGTGATGAGTTCAGTTTTGGCACTAAGTACTGGAAGACTTAATGATGCCTCTTTACGTACATTCTTCTATGAAGCTATGTCAATAGTCAACAATCGGCCATTGACAGTGGATGGTCTCAGTGATCCTACAAGTCCAGAGCCCTTAACCCCCAATCACCTGCTTACCATGAAGTCGTCTGTCCCACTTCCTCCTCCGGGTGCATTTGTTAAGGAAGATCTTTATGCAAAGAAACGTTGGAGGCAGGTGCAGTATTTGAGTGAACAGTTTTGGAGCAGATGGAGGAAAGAATATCTTGCTAATATCTCTCTAAGGCAAAGATGGCATGCACTAAGGCGGAATGTGCAAGTGGGGGACATTGTCATTGTTAAGGAAGAGGAAACTCCCCGCAACGAATGGAGGTTGGCTAGGGTCGTTGAAGTTTGCAAGGCTGATGATGGACTGGTACGGAAAGCTAAAATACAGATTGGTGATCGGAAGTTGGGGAAAAGGGGTGAACGCCTCACTAAACCCTCTGTTATTGAACGACCCATCCAAAAATTGGTAGTTCTTGTAGCAAAAGGTGAAAATTAATATCTTATCACTCATTAGAAGTTGAATCATGTTAGTACCATGCTGTGATATGTTGATTTGTGCTGCCCTAATGCTGGGTGACAGTAGAATGTGAAGAATGGTGAACAATTTGTTCATTTTAACAGAAGATTGTGTAATTATGAAATATGAACCTTTTTTTTGTGTTTTTTTTTGTTTTTTGCCTTTTTTGCCGATTTTCATGTTTCCTGTTGGAGCTTGGAAATTACCATTTGATTGGTTGTGTTTGTTTCTTATCACTCAATGGTAATTTGGTGGGAGTGTAGCTGACGCTGGAAGGTCAGCTCAGGGGATGATATTTTGGTGATTTGAGTGGTTAATGTTTATTTTGACTTTATAGTTTATTTTGTGATTTCATAGTTTAAATGTGTATTTCTGTATGGTGAATTTCTTAATTTGTTTGCCGTTTGTATTTTATTATTATTCTATCGTTGAAGTTGAGGTCATGTGATCCTGTGTGTGCTGATTAATTCAGCTGGACGTGTTAGCGTCAATGTAATGATGTGATGTGAAACTAAGACCGCAGGATAGTGCTCCTGACTTAAATCTACTGTTGGTTACCAGGCGAATACGGTAAATGTTTTAATACTTTGTATATTATGTTGGTTTGTGTTTGTAGTGGTGTTGTGTGTAAAACTATGGTTTGGTTTTCCTTTGTGTCTAGTTTTCACGGTGTCTCTGGAATAAATAAACAAAAATGGACATCAGTACTTCGGAAGCGTGGACTGTTTTGTAATCAGCGAGTAGTTACATTTGTGATCAAAAAAAGTTTTGGTAGACTGGCATAAATCTCATTATTTCATTAAAAAATATCTTAATTGGAAATGGCACAAGGATGTTTTCCTTTTTGGGTGAACTATCCCTTTAAGAATTACTGTAATATCTAAACCTGTTAATTAGAAGTGATTGTCCATTTACTTTGAGCTATATTGTATCATTATGACAACTTAAAAGTTTTGTTTTTGTGTACCATTGCAGCTAAAATCCTTGACCCAGGCCAAGAGTGTTCTACATCAAGTCACCGCAGCTTTGGCTGTTGCTGAGCAAGCCCTGAGCTTTGAACACAGGTAACAAGTGTGAAGCTGAAATTTAAATGACCGCATATGCAGAAATCTGTATGCATCTACAGTGCAAGCTGATGTAAGTGGTGTGTACTGATGTTTCAGAAATCTTCATTGGCGGAACATCCTGGTGAAGGACATTAAGCACAAGACCATTCATTTCATTCTGAATGGAACAGTGCATTCCATCGAGACTCAGGGGGTTCAGGTCAACATTATTGACTACTCAAGCTCACGCCTGGAGATCGTCAGTCCAATGCAGAACTCTTTCTCTAACTCCTTTTGGCACAAATATTTTTCAGTTTCATAAATGTAGTTTTTAAGATGCTTGTGTTGCAAATCCCATGTTAATAACTACCCAACATTCAGTTAATTTAGAATGTATCCCCCAGCCTTACTCTTAAAATGGTGACTTGACCATTTTCCACCAATGGTGGCCTTCCTTAACCTTCTCGACTGCAACTCATCTAACAACTAAAATCATACATTATTTTGAATCTTAAATGAGTAACTTTTTATTGGTTTTTTTATAAATGTTGTTGATTTGCATTTGTAAAGCTAAACCATCCCAACCATTCCAAGAAAAATTATCAAAATGAACTTTCATTTCCCATAAATTAACTACAAATCAATATTTGGTCCCAAACTAGCTAGCCGTTAGTAAAAGATAAATTCGACCATTTTATAACGTTGTACTGTTACAATGTTGGTACTGGTAGTATATTTAAATGAACAATATGTACTTTTTCTTCATGTTACCTGCATGTCGGACTTGCCGACAAATAAACAATGTCTTGGTGACTAACACGGAGAGAGAGTACATATTTGTAGGATTTTCTATGAACGTTGTAGTGACGTTTTATTCTTCCACGCAACAGACCAGGAGACTCTTGAGGTATCTTTCATGCAGAAGTTCTTTAGTGCATCGCTGTAGTCATCTCAAAATAAGTCTGATTTAAAAGAACCTTACATTCTAATTTATAGATTTCAAAGAGGGTGGGATTACATGAAGCTGGAGACTCTGAGACAAATCAAATGGTAATGCACTTGACCCTGAAGCTCCAAGACAAATGGTAACCTAGCAGGTGTTCAAACTTCAAACAGGCATTTTCACACGGTGAGACGAGAAACAGGAAAGGCCTAGCTTTCCCGTGTGGTCACAGGACAATCAGGAGGGTCACACTGGGAATTCCTACTGTTTTCAGACTTTCTCCATTTAAAACATTAAATTAAACATGTATTAATAAAATTTGTAATCTCACATTTCCCCCTCTTGAGAGTACTAATAACTCTCACATTAAGTACAAATTTAAATGATTAAAAGTTCACTCTTGTAACTTTTGCTAGTTACAGGCACATGTTCTGTGTTTGCTTTTTCTGTAATTGCATGCTGACACAGAAAACAAACATGCAAGTAGGGTCCGTGAAGCTCTAACGGAAGAATTAAATTTCAGTTACATCTGGTGTAATTTTTGCTGAAAGATTCAGACTGTTTAACCATCATGTTTGTGCACAAGTGAGTCAATGCAGCCATCTTCGGCTGTGGCCTGCAACGTTTCCAGCAAAACAAGGATTCTTTAGTCTTCACTTTGTGTGATGTCCTGGGGCTCGTTCTTCGTACCTCGCTAACTCAGTTAGCTGGATTTGATTGTTGTCGATTTGGCATGATCTTGGATCGTTTGGTTCTTCGACGCTCATCCTGGACTTGCTGTCATAGCAACAGGTCCGTCAGCTTGAACCTGCTCGCGAGCAGGCTTATTTCATGTAAACAGGATTAGATCGCGGCTGATACGGGAAGTCCTTTAGCGCAGCACGATAGTGTAGCCTAATTTCTGAGATTATTTTTTTTTTCTCGTGAAACGATCGTCGTGAGGGTGTTGTTTAAGCAACTCTATTTCTAGTGCAACTTAGTCAAGTTATTTCTCCCCCTGATTTTTGTTTTTTCAAAATACTCTATTTTCTGTTGAAGACTCATATAGGGAACAAATGCAACAAATAAAAAGCAAAAGTTGTCTCCACACTGCCGACCCCTGTATCACTGCTGTGTGCAGACTCTTCTGTAGGCCTTTCTGTACATGTGGACTCCTGTCAGAAATAATAGGCATAGGCACAAGTATAAATCAATTAAAGCCATTAATTAAATTAAAGTACTTCCTCCAAAGGACAGTCATCTGAGAAGTTTTCTTCACTCTCCAGTGCAATGTGATTGATAACTCATGGCAAAATATTTTTACATTAACATAAGTTTATCAGTTTTTACTTTCACAAGACAAAGCAATTTATCATTACTCAAGATTTAACAGTTGAAATGACTAAACCAGCCAATTCAGATTATAGGTCTACTTCATTTAATGCAGCAACAAATTATTTCACAGTGTACAAAGATAATGTAAATCTCATTTCCCAGTGATGAAGGTGTTGCTGCTATTTTTTCTCAGCCTTTTTCTTGGTTGCTTTTCTAAACAGACAATCATTTATTTAACAGTGCCTTTTTAAAAGAGACTAGTAGGCCTATAAGGCCTATAAATTTACCATTAGGCCTAAGTAGAATATTTTTGGACTTCACTTTCACCATGTCCATTATTATAGGTGACTCGACATTACAATAATCAAAGTAATTATGAAATTATGAAAATAAAAATAAAATAATAATAATAAGTTATTAAAACATCTAACATGGCCACCACAAACGCATTTAATTTGTCTTCTAGTTTTGCCAGCACTCTCTCCTGGCTTTTGCACACTTTGAGGTGTTCCTGGCATTTTAATTAAAGACTGAAATTCGGCATAACCTTGCATTAAAAGCGCTTGCTCTGCTTGGGAGAAAAACTGGGCGTGTTCTTTGGCCATGCTGAACAGCCAATAGCAGCGCTGCTGATCACTGGTTCTGCTATCGATACATGTCCCCTTTTAAACCAACGCGAGAACGCGCAGTTATCTCAGATAACTCAATCCAGCGATACTAATCATAAACAACAGGTGTGTTCGAAGAACCCAATTAGCCGGATCATGATTAGCACGATGATATTATCTTGGATGTCTCATTTGATCTCGGATGTTTTAAGCAACGTACGAAGAACGAGCCCCTGGTGGTTACTACATCTTGATAATGTTGATGGATGACTGAAGGTTCCGTAAGTCCTTTCTCTGCGTTGTGTATTTTTCTTCTTTACTTTGGTGATAGTTGGCTCGGCAGTGGGTCTCGTTGTTTTCTGGAAGTGGTGGCTTCATACGCAGGTGAAGACGTCTGTGCGTATGGGTCTCGGGATAGCCATCAAGTGGTATCTGCACAGAGGAAAAAGAAAAACAAAGAGAGCAGTATTTCTTCAAAGACAAGGGTTGTATCCTGCTGAGTAAACACTGAGTCTGCTATTGTTCCCTCTTTCCCTATTTCTTAATTCTTGACACATAAAGAACCCAGTGAGGTGAGGATGAGACTAAATGGATGGGGAAACCTATGAGGGAGTCTTCACCGAAAGGGTTGGCCCCCAAAGCCTGTTGCATTTGGTTCTTCCCTTGGCTCCTCACTGGTTCGTGTCAATATCATGTCCCTGTGGGTGGCAGAACTTTGCAGAACACTTTGCAATGTGACAGAACACTTTTCATTGTGATACATGATACCAAGTTTCTTTTCTTTCTTGACACAATACTGCCGATCAACGTCCCTTGATGGGGTACCTGCCACTTAGGCTTGACCTGTCCTGTGACATGTGTACTTAGATCTGCATAACCCAATTATGAGTTATTTCTCCTTCATCCTCTAACAAAACATCAGTCGTTGTAGACGTCATACATGAGAATGGGTGAGGGTAGTTAAACCAATTTCCCCAATGGGAAAAGGTGACAAAATTGACTTTTGCTTCATTCATTATTGCGGACACTGCATGAGGGCATGTACATTTACAGTCTGACCTAACACTATTATTGATGAAAGGCCTGTACTGTAGAATAACATTTAAGGCTGTGAGTTTACTTAAAGCAGTCCCCCAAAGGAAAAGCTGAGACAGCCACTTTCCTTTTGTTCTGTTAACATAACAAACATAAGTTTTTTATCTCTGTTGTAAGTTACTGGGGAAATTAAGCACTCACAGTCCAAATGGTTAACACGTCAACAAGCTGCCCCACCCGTTTAAAGACGTGGGGAATGGCGGCTTCAGAATAGCAAGCAAACTGAGAAGTTTGGCAAAAAGGTTGCCTTCTTTAAAATTCTTTCTGCTTTTTCTACACTCTCTGCTCCAATGTCCCGGCTGACCACAGTAATAACACCTGCCCTCTCTCTTAGGACATTTACGTTTCTGTGGGTTTTCTGTGCTGACCTTAAAAGAGGCTGCTGCAATTTGTACTCTTGCCTTAACATCAAAATCTCTTTCCCAAGCAGTTAACCTGTCCAGGTTACTTCTAAGAGTTCTGTGAGACCAAGTCAGATCCAAAAATGGCAAAGCTCTTCTGTAGTCAGCTATAAGGCCATCTGACCAGATGCGGACCAGCGGTCCTTTGTCATGGAGTACACTTTCAGAATCATCCACTATTCCACTGTACGTTACAGCTGACTGACAAAACCTCTCAGTATATTCATTCACAGTTTCTTCTTTCTTTTGTACACAGTTTGTAATTCTAGACCAATCTATCTTGGGTCCTAGGATATTCTTTAGGATTTTCAGAACACCTTCTCTCAATTCATCTTTTCTGGCATGTTGCAGTTCGGAAGTAACAGCAGACTCAAAACTGTTGAATTCAGATTCAGTTAGAATTTGAGACATTAACTGTGTGACTTCTGTTAACGACATGTCGTAGAGACGCATTTTGCTGACCAATGCTCTACTAAATTCAGTGAACTGTGTGCGTGCTGGCGGTAAACTCTGTGACAATCTTTCTATGTCTCTAGGTCCAAGCGTTGTAGCAACAGTTTGGATTTGAACAACAGAAGCACTGGAAGGGACACTTTCTGACTGTTCAATTCCCTGCTGTCTTTTTCTAGCAGCACACACCTTCACTGAATTTACATGCTTATCTGTTACTGATGGGATGTCTACATCTCTTTCAAACAATTGTAAGTCAGGAAAAGTTTCATCTGACTGTTGGTCTTCAGTGTTACATTTGGCTGAGGCCTGGTTATTGCCCACCTTTGTCGTGAAACAGGACAATTGAGTCTGCAATTGTTTGTTCTGTTCATTTAACTTAGCAATACACCTAGCTTGTTCCTGTGCAATGGATAAACTGTATTCTTTGTAACAACAGATAATGGCTTTCACATTGTTCTTGCGAATACTTGCTCCTAGCACTTTTTTACACTCATCTATAGACCATACTTTTTCTGGGTGAATGCCAAATTTCTTTGTCAAATTCACTCTGACTGACTGAGTCACTATGGAGTCCATGTGCTCTCCTAACAATGACTTAAATTCACTATCTGACCACAATGGAGCGGCAAGGCCACTTTTCTCAGTTGTAGGAACCAACCTAGCATTCGTCACAACCATTTTGTGAGTTTCTTTGTTATCACACAAAACTAACTTTCTCTGATCAACAGAGGCTACACTTGTTTACACAGATCGACTGTTGTAAACCTTCTTTGACAGAGCAAAGGAAAATCCACAATATTACTAGCACTTTATGTTAATACTTCCCTGTTTGTACAGAGGTTCAAACTTTCATCTCTAAAGTAAATTTTTAGAGGGTAACACCACAAAACAACAAACAAACAACACAAACTATTAGCATGTTGCGCTAATCTTCCCTGAAAGAAAATGGAAAGGATCTTTCACCTTCCAAAATTTTTAGAGGATACGACCACAATAACTAGCACAAAAATGCTAATCCTTCTCTGCGAACAGAGGTTATCACCAATATTAACACGTAATGTTAATCTTCCCTAAGTTTAGAGGATATCTTCTCTAGCAACGTAGAGGCACTATTCCTTTCGACAAAACTTCCCTGACTCATTCAGAGGATATCTTACAACTTCCCTGACTTATTCAGAGGATCCCAAAATATTAACATTTAATGTCAATCTTCCCTGCCTGACAACAGAGGATACCTTTCATCTTTAAAAGACAACTTTTAAAGGATAACTTTAGTTAATCAAACACTACAGCTTGTCTGATAACTCTCTGACGGCGCAGAGGCACAACTTTGGTACTGGTCTGGTTCTTTGAATAGAGTGAAACTCACCGAATCGTTGCTTGTATGAAAAGATTCAGTCTGGAACTCAGTCAGAAAAGTTCTTTTTGTTCTTGTTCTGGAACTCAGTCCGCTTTGTTGATCTTGTTCTGGAACTCAGGTAAGATTTCTCTGTTGAAATCTTTTGTTGCATTTTGTTGATTCAGGTAAGATTTCTCTATCCGGGTCACGGCACCATCTGTAGTGAAGTTTTATTATTCTTCCACGCAACAGACCAGGAGACTCTTGAGGTATCTTTCACGCAGAAGTTCTTTATTGCGTAGCTGTAGTCATCTCAAAGATAGTCTAAGATAGTCTAACTAAGGGAAAACATTCCCTTACAATTTATACATTTAGAGGGGAGGAGTTTACATTGAGGGGGGGAGAAACTGAAACAAAAGTAAATGTATATGATTCAACAGACACCTCAGTTCATCAGCATAGCAGTTTTCTGTGCCTTGAGATGCTAATCTGGAGGAGTTACATTGAGGAGGAGTCTCTTGAAACAAAGCTAATGTAAATGATTCAGCAGATTACCAGAGACGCTAATCTAATCAGTCTGACCAGCGTGGTCACACTTTTACCATTACAAAAGCAAAGCTGAATCTTGAACTTAATGGCCAGGAAGCGCATAAAGACAAAAGCTAATGTGTGACACCTGGAATGCTTGGCTTAATCTTATTGGCCTCAAAATGGTAAACACTGTATACATTTTTCAGTTCAAAATACTGTTAAACCTTAATGAAACATTGAATAAATTTGTATTTCTTCATAGCCTTCTAGTTTGGATTAAACAATCGAAATCAGCTGTAGATATTGTTTGGCAGCACACTAACAATGTCTGCAAACAGAATTTATTCAGACAGAACACTTAAACGTCAGGCAAAGCGGAGGGCTTACAATATCCTTAGTGAGGTTTGCGTCAATGCTGAATCTGACGCAGCCGACATAAACATATGCCTGGGAAAAAACGCCCCTGCTGATTAAGTGTGGTCAGATGCTGCTTCTGATTGGCCCATGTCCTATGAATCAGACGAGTTAGAGACTAAGTTTAATTTGTTGAGTCTGCTGAGGAGATCAGAGGTTGGGCAATAGACAGCCAAATACCACAATGCCATCTAAATGGGATGTTGGGCATCCTGAGGAAATATCATCCATATCTCCCAAAGGATTCTCGCACTCTTTTAGGGACTCAAACTAATTATGAGGTCCAGGAGATTGCTGATGGCACCATGCATTATTTTGGAGTGGAGAATGGCATTAGGGATGTGTTAAACCAGATAGACCCTCTCCCAAAGGCCATTCATTTACAAGTGAATATTGATGGACTGCCTTTGTTCAAAAGCAGTAATAAGCAGTTCTGGCCCATTCTAGGCTTGGTAGAGGAAGACAAAACAAAGTAACCATTCGTCATCGCTTTATATCTTGGATCTAAAAAGCCAGAGAATGTCAATCTGTTCCTAGAATCATTTGTGAATGAATATGGAAAGCTTAAACTAGAGGGTGTGGATGTAATTGGCAAATGTGTAGAAATTAAAATTTCTAATTTTGTTTGCGACGCTAGTGCGAGGGCTTTCGTAAAAAAACATTAAAGCCCACAATGCATATCACGGCTGTGAAAAATGCACACAGGAGGAAACATGGGTGGAAAATCGCATGACTTTTCCTGAAGTAGATTCACCTTTACGGACAGATACGTCTTTTATTAATAAAGACGATGAGTTTCACCATAAAGGGACCAGTGTGTTGACAAAGGTTGGAATTGGTATGGTCTCCCAATTTCCATTAGATGTTATGCATCTGGTTTTTCTTGGGGTTGTGAGAAAGTTGATAGGGTTTTGAATGAGGGGACCACTTCCAACTCGTTTAGGTGCTCATCAGATAGGCCTAATTTCTGCAGCGCTTATGTCCTTTGCCTTGAGACTCCCCAGAGAGTTTGTACGAAAAGGGAGATCCCTTGTTGAGGTAGATAGGTGGAAAGCAACAGAGTTCAGAACTTTTCTTCTGTACACTGGTCCAGTTGCACTGAAAGACCATCTGCCGAATGTTCTATACCACAATTTTATGCTTCTGCATGTAGCCATTCGAATATTATGCTGCCCCTCACTCTGACTCCAGTACTGTGATTTTGCTGAAAAGTTACTAATCACATTTGTCGAGCATTTTCAATCTGTCTATGGTAATTACGTTGTGTATAACATACACGGCCTGACACATCTTGCCAATGATGTAAGGCAGTTTGGTGTGCTGCATAATTTCTCAGCTTTTCCATTTGAGAACTTCCTCTACACATTAAAAAAAATGACTAGGACCCCTACCCAGCCCCTTCAACAGATCATCAGGAGATTGTCAGAAAAAGCAAGTGTCAGAACTAAAATAAAGGTGTGCAAGGATGGTTTTTACCAGGAACATAAGAACGGGCCTGTTCCATATGATGTGACATCTCAGCAGTTCACACAGTATAAGAAATATGTAAATGGTGGAACTTTAATTAGTTTATCAGAGGGAGACAATTGGCTTTATGCCCAGCTGCACTACTTCCTGAACTTCAGCCAGCTCCTTGTTTCCTGTCTGCCATTATTGGCCAAATTGATTAATTCAGTTGCCATGACTATTGAGGTCAAGCACACCTGAATTAATCAATTTGACCAATAATGGCAGACAGGAAACAAGGAGCTGACTGAAGTTCAGGAAGTAGTGCAGCTGTGCATAAAGCCCATTATATCCAGTCCAATGGAGATATTTATATAGTTAAAAACATTTTAAAAGACAAGGAAGCATCACATCTAGTCTGTCTTAAATTCCAAAACAAGTCATCATTTTTCACCTATCCCATTGATTCATTCATCAACTTGACATAACCTTTGTGAAACAACCCGGGCAGTCATTGACTATTGTTCCTACACAGACTGTTTCAAAAGTTCTTCTTTTACAGTAAGTACCCCCCCCCCCCCCCCCCCCCCACCACCACCACCATTAGGTACAGACCTTATCAAGCATAAGAAATAGTAATAATAAGACTAGGAATTATTTTAATTAATTAGATTTCCACTGGGTAATTAATAGAGCTACAATAAATGTATAAAGTTGTAACACTATATATATATTTTTTTTTTTTAAATTTTTTTTATAGATGTATTCAATAGTTGTTTTTACTGAAAAGAATGAGACAGAGGTAATACCAAGTGACTGGCTGAGCGTCGACAAAAAAATTTCCTTTTGGCCTCCATATAACAGTACAACATGTAGAAAAGCGGTTGAAAAAAAATGAAACTCCTAATGAAGAATGGGACGAATATATAACTGAATGGGTAGCTGAGTATGGTAAGTCTTTGAGGAATTAAATATGAATTATTATTGAGAAATATAGAGAAATAACTATTCAAAAATTAAAAGATGCTCCTTGTGAGTTATGCCAAGCAGTTCTTTTCAAATGTTCAGATAATAGGCTTAGTGATGTTATTTGTTTCTATGTTTAGATTCCTATGAAAAAGCCAGAAGAAAGCTGGTGAAGTTTTGTAAAGGCAACAGTTTGGAGTCTACAAATGAGGACAGTGTACGGAAAAGAGTGTATGTTTACTCTGTTCTTCTCCTTTTATAGCCTACTGCTTATTTGCACTGAGCTTTTACAAAAATTGATTACACTTAATGTGTCCAACAGACCATCATCAAAATATGTAAATGGATTTCCATCTGATACCGCCTCAGGAAGACCTCCAGTGCAGGCCTCAACAAGCAGGCACCACACAGGTACAGACGAAAACAGACAGTGGTCATTGCATCATTTCCCAACATATCTGGTCACCACAGATTCCTTAAATCCAAGACTTGATAATATGGTCCCCTTAGAATTAATTAAAGTAATTTCCTTTGTCTGAGCCACAAGAGAGTGTTTAATGTAAGGTAAAAAAAAAAAAAAAAAAAAAAAAATCACTGCTCTTATGTATTAACCTTAGAAATTTAGCCAAATGAATGTATAAACTGTGTGTTGGAAATTACAGTACAAGGTTATATCTCACATTTCTGTCAAAATTAAGTTGTAGTAAACTATATTTAATTATGTTGAATTATAATAATATGTTGAAAGGAATTTTTGAACAGTGGTCACTTTCCTGTTGTATAAGATCGCAGCGAAGCTCTGGATGGAAGTAAATGTTGTGATGTCTGACAATGTATTGTACATTATACTGATTCTGTTTCTCACTGTTCCATATGCAGAGACAATGGAAAGACCAAAAAAAAAAAAAAGATTCTGCAGTAATGGAGCCAAAAGCCTGACTTTGCCAGCCATACCACCATTTGCACCATCAGCACCATCAGCACCATCAGCACCTGCTGTGACAGTCCCTGAACCAAGACAAGATGGTAAGTAGAATTAACTCCTTACATAGCTTTTAGTAATTACCTTTAGTCTCTAACTTGGATTAGACACTGTTCAAGGAACAAAATAAAATATATGTAACCAAAAAGGAGAATAAAACCTAAGTTGTTCTATTTTCAAATGATAAACTTTTTAAGCCTTGCTTTTGACAATTAGCATTAATATCAATGTGCTTTGATTTACAACCTTTTTTTTAAATTGTGACATTAAGTGAAATGCAACATAAAAACAAAATTCCAAATCTTGTAAAATCATATTTTGCTTTAAAAGGACATTGACAACACATTAAATGTTGAAAATGTCAAATTTTACTATTTTATGGGAAATGGGAGCAAATTTTAAATTTATGGCGTCTCAAAAAAGCTGGGATGGATTTAACAAAAGGCTGTTAAAGTTATGATAAAGACAACAAAAGAAGAGGTGCAGTTTCTCTCTTTATACGTTCAATTCTGTGTAGTTATAATGTTGCATCGTATGTTTGTCTGATTCAGAAAGAGAACTCCGGCTCTACCAGATGCTGGAAGAGATAAAGGGTCAGGTCAGGCAGAATACGCTCCTCCTTCAGGCGATTTTGCGAAGAGAGAATGCTGCTGAAGTTGTGAATGAGGAGTTTCAGTTTCCATTAAGGAGCATGACCGGCATAAAAGATTTGGAGGATAGGCTGTCAAACAGAGACACACAACGTTCTCTAGTAAATTCTAAAGTTCTTTTTCTTCACTTAAACGAATACTAACATATTATTAATATCTAACTATATTATATTATATGTAGAGATCTAGACCTGGTTTACTGGTGCTTAACACATGTTTTTTTTTTTTTCAAAGACAAGATATCTTACCAGCTTGGGTGGAACATCTGCTAAAGACATTGTCCACAGAATGATGAGGGAAATAATGACCAATGAGTTGGCCAACAATTTTAATTGGCAAGGGAGAGGACAGAAGAGCCCATTTTCTACACTTTTGCTAGCAAAAGTTGTCATAGGTGATGTGTTTAAAAAAAAAAAAAAACATTCAAAACTAAGACATAACTTGTCTTGAAATTGCAAAAGAGAAAACAACCCATTACAGTTTCACATAATGTGTCATTGAATGAAATGCAATGCAAGTAAAAAAAAAAATTCTTTAATGTCATGCTGACAGATGCAGCCAAAAGACAAGGGGCAAAAGTGGTGGAAGCAGAGGAAAAAATAAAAACCTGGCTGAAGTATAGTGGAGACCGAAATGGAGGAAGAAAAAAAAGAGCAATAGAAAAAGGTACACAAGGCATTTTTAAGGCTGATCCAAAATGTTATTAATTATTATATTTATATATATATATATATATATATATATATATGTTCATATATACATTTTAAGTAATTTACATTTTGATAATTACTATATTTTTTCTTTAACACAGAAAAGCAGATGCCTCCCCCTCAATTAGATTCCAGCAGCAGTGAAAGTGAATGTAAGTGTCTTCCAATAATTGTTTTTTTTTCTTCCTCTGTCTAACCCCACCACTAAACAGAGGTATTTCATCTTTACTAGGCGTACACTATAGATGTATAATAAATTTGCTACCCCAACATGATGAAAATCTCTTGCTGGCGAGAAAATAAATCCTACTTTCCCCCCCAAAAAATATACACTCAAAAATAAAACGACACATATCTTAAATGCTCTAAAAAGTTGTTTATGTTTGTTTTTATTTAACAGGAGTATGCTGCTTCTCCTCCTCCGCTCCGTCTTCATCGTCAGAGCAACTCAGTGTTTTTTGTTTTTGTTTGTTTGTTTGTTTTTTGCCTCCTTCTGCATTTTCTTTGCCACCTTTTTTGTCAATTTTTGGTTCCTTGTTGATTGGCTTTATTTTAATTTTGTTTGAATTAATTCTTCGTCATTAATTAATAAATTAAACTTGTCACCAATAAAAAGGGTCATTTTATAACCAATTAAGTTTGTCTGTTGTGCCGTCTCTTAATGCAATTCAACAATGAAGGTCTGCTGACTGCTGAACCAACGTTGGCCCAATCTTGTTATAATGGTTTTTAGGTTGGCTGAAGGTCTGCTGAATGTCCAATGACATGGTTGGCCCAACGTTGGCCCAATGTTGTTTTCGTGGTTTTTTGGTTGGCAGAAGGTCTGCTGGCCATCCAATGAGATGGTTGGCCCAACGTTGGCCCAATGTTGTTTTCGTGGTTTTTTGGTTGGCAGAAGGTCTGCTGGCCATCCAATGAGATGGTTGGCCCAACGTTGGCCCAACGGACAAAATTACGTTGGGCCAACGTCAGCACCCAACGTTGGCCCAACACAACAACAGACGTTGGGCCAACGTTGGGCCAACGTCTGTTTGCTACCTGGGTATTGTGCTACCGTGTTACTGTGGGGCTATTTTGAGCCTTGTTAGTGGTAATAAAAAGCGATTTTTATTTGTCATTACTCTATGCCCTATAGACTAGCGTTATACTAGCATTATAGGCTAAACTGTTTTTATAGATAAAACTATTTAGATTCGGCAATCATGAAAAAAAATCTCAGATAACGGTTGAATAGGTAACAATGTGCAATTAGACCAAAGGTTCATTTTGCGCTGGAGTTGTCCTTTAAGTAGAAATTTTGGGTATCTATACTTTACTGGAGTAATTTTTTTTTCAGCCTATACTTTTTACTTCTACTTCTTACATTTTCATGCAATTATTTGTACTTTCTACTCCTTACATTTTAAAAATAGCCTCGTTACTCCCATTTAATTTCGGCATTTTTGTCATTCCGGCTTGTCATCATAAAAAAAACAAAAACATGACCAATAACACACACGGAGAACAGATCTGAGTCCCGTCCCCTGAACATACATCGCTAAACTGATTGGCTTTGTGTTTTCTTTCTAACCTGTGAGAGGCTGTAGTTACATTTGGTTGTGCGAAGCAGCAAAACTCCTCCGAAGGAAACCTAGAGATGTGGTAAGTGACGGATAAATCAACAGTTTTCTGCTCAAGAGTCAAGAATACGGGTCAAATCGCGTCAAATATTGATTTGGACTTCTCTGTGCATGCTCTTTGAGGTGGTGACCCTAGGCCTGCATTATATGACTGACAGACAAGAACGGTTTCTATATCAAAATTGAAAATACTGTGGAAACAAAGACACCTACATTTTGGATGCCCTTGAGGTAAGATAAAACATACCAAAAATTAATTTCAAAGTGAACTATCCCTATAAAGGGATTTTTTTCCTCACAATACTTTTACTTTTTTAAACCAGTAGTTTTTGAAACCAGTACTTTTATACTTTTACTTGAGTAAAAGGCTTGAGTTGATACTTCAACTTCTACAGAAGTATTTTTAAACCCTAGTACAGTATCTATACTTTTACTTAAGTAATGAACGTGAATACTTTTGACACCTCTGGAGAAATGTTACATTTTACAATGTTATTAAAGGCACTGCTGGTGTCACACTGCATGCTTTGCTCAGTGGTCAGTACGTTTAGCACAAACAGTTCCTGTTTTCTTCACATCTGCACGACTCAAGAGAATGACAATTTTGTCCTTCAGAAAGATGAATGCTGCAGAAAGACGACGAGTTTGCATAAACTAGCAAAACAAATGTGGCGCATTTTAACAGTTTGAAACAGCAGCGTGTTGTTGTTGTCCTCCAGTATCCTCTGTTTCTCTTCTGACTGTAGTTGCTGAAAGCAGCGGCTCGGGTCAGTGTTGCCCCCTTGTGGACAAACTCATTAATTCACACTGATTTTAAAATGAGCTACACCAGATTTCAGGTTCCAAATTAAAATACTGTTTGTTTGTAGTATAAAAAGCTTCACGAAAGTGATTAATGCAGTGGTCATTAACATAATGGAATAAAGTTTAAATAATAAGTTACCTGTTTCAAAAAAAAAAAAAAAAAAAAAAGAGAACAGTTTCAGTCAGCAACTTTAGAGGATAAAGAACTGAGATTAGTCAGAGAAGCTGTTCAGTCAGGGTGGCCAAACTCAAGAAGCCAAGTACCAAAATCTATAGACCCCTTTTCAGTTGGTAAACATGGTGACGTTTTTATGTGGGCGGAGATGATCCCTCTGGGTGCGTCACTAACGCTAGTTAGCAAGTTTTATTAGCTTGTTTTTTAACAATGACTGGAGAAACTCAGATTTTATCTTAATGTGTAAGGTCACTCACTGTTCAGGAGTGTGATTGCTATTTCCAAAAGTTATTTTTAACGGACAGAACCAGATTGGCTGACCCGTAGCCTTCACACGCTCACTCAATGCATGGACGATCTGACAGGATTAACGTACGTTACCTCGGTGAGTGGCCTGACTTCTACACCTACCTTACAGAGAAACCCATCGTAAAGAGAAACTGATGGCATAAATCTTTAGATGCCTATATGGTCCTGTACAAAACTTGTGTGTATGAGCCAGGGCAGAGAAGACGACAATGTAAAGAGTGTCATTACGGTGCGATTTTAATCATGTGAATATTTTCTAGAAATAAAAAATCCAGATTCATTTTTCATTGATTCTTGCACCAAACAACACAATAAGATGACATTTAAAAATAATGAAATTAATTTAAGCTCCTTATTATGTAGCCGAATCTGTGCTGGTTTGCAGTGGGCGCCTCCAGTTTTCACTTTGTTTTGCCCCCAGCTAGCGCCGTGACGTAACTGTGACGTCGGCGCAAAAGGGGTCTATAGACGAATCCGGCGAAAATACCGGAAGTAAGCGGGCGCCATTACTGAGCTGGGTAGCGTTGCGCCATTGCATCCTATTGTTTTAGTTGCAACTTGCGTCCACTGGAATAAACAGCCCGCGATTTACGACTGTCACTAACGTTACAACGTTAGCCCTTGTATAATGTCGAGTGGGTAAACAGTTTCCGTTATAAATTGCTTCAATGGCATAGCTGTCAACCCTCCCGTTTTTTCCGGGTTTCTCACGTATTTTTGCTCTTTTCCCGCTGTCTTCCCGTTTTAGTATCTTCCCGTAAAATATCCCGTTTTTTTACTATGATTGTGTGAGACGTTCGAGCTCGGGCTGATTCGGCTTGAAGTCGTTTATCCTCGGATGCGGCGCCGCGCGTGCTGGCCGGAGACACACTGGCTGTGTGGCGTGTCCGTTTTTATTTCGGCTCCCATGTTAACAGATTAGAGCTTGCACACTGCCTGCGTGACACGCGCGTCTCCAGAAAACGCGTGCATGCTAGAAATAGAACTGACGCCTATTTTTTCAAGCGACATGCAAGCGTGTTGAAAGCGTTTCCAGGCAAAAAATAAATAAATAAAAAATAGGAAACGATGTTTATATGTCATTTTGTACTCGAATAGCCTACATTTTACATTTTGATGTTTGAAAGTCAAGGTTTTTACATAAATTCAGATATCAATGTAATTTAAACAAATAATAATTATAATAATCGATTTATATTGCCATTAGTCCTATATATAATTTAAGGTCATATAACATATGAATAAAATATCTTTTCTTTTTTTTTCATTTGTTTCTTATGCTCTTAACAATGTGATTACACGAAGAAGAAGAAAAAACTTTTGGAAAAAAAACGTTCTGGGCCTCAGGAGGATATAAAGATACGATAGGCTACAATAACAACAGAGTGTGTCTTCTGAGTGACGGTCCACCACCAGGCTAAATATAGGCTCTTTAAAACTACACAAAATGTGTAGGCTAAATGTTATTGAAATAAACAGACAGCCCACTTCCCTATTTTGTGGGTTTTGGAAGATGTGATAACAGTTGAAATTGTTGTCGCAAAGGCAAGAGCAACACACCGCTAATCCAAATGTAGATTTTTTTTTTCTTTAAATGACACTAGTTTCTAGGCTAGTTATTAACTCTTTAGACTTTTAAGGATTAGTGCTTTATTTTTAAAGTTTGTGGGTAAGAATCGTGTAAAAAAAAAAATCCCTTATTTTGGGGATGGATCCCGGGAAAACTCCCTTATTTTCAGTGTTCAATGTTGACAGCTATGCTCAATGGTGGCAGAATTTCAATTTTGAAGAGAAAACATTGTGAATACCCCGGGTCGACTGCTCCTGTCTGGAGCCATACGGTTTACAAAGATTTCCTGGGCGAGTACAAGACGCAGACATTCGCGTATAATAACAATTATTTAATGACATAAGTAAAAAAATATAATAAATATTAAATATGTGATATAGTGATCAGCAAAATCTCTTGCTATTTTTTCTATTCCATTAACATGCTGGTCATTAAATGGCTTTCCTGAGCTAAATATAACGTTATGTGACATAATTGTTCTCCCGCTGTCATAATGACCTCTTTCCATGGTTTAAAAACACTAATTGGTCGGTATTATGTATACTTTCTAGCTGTAACGTTACCTTACCCTTGCCCGTTGCAATGTAAATAATGGACACAAATGAAAAACATGAATTTGTTTATTTGATTTCATTTATTTATTTATTGTTGCCAAATGGACAGATCTTTTTATAGTTTCCTCGTTAGCAAATGTTAGCCTAGCTATAGCTTGCCAAGCTATTTTCATAAATAATCTGTAAGATCGTTTGTACCTTCACCTGTGACTGGAGGCCAAGGTCTAACATCATCAACCCAACAAGTCATTCTGCCTGTCTGTAGCTGTGATCGAGGGTGCGTTCGCGTTATCACCGAGGTTTGTTTACATACCGGTGCACATGTCTATGCCGGTGTAACAGCTCAGTAATGGCGTCGCCACAAGATGGCAGCCTAGAATGCTCGTCGGATTCGTCTATACAGCAGTAATGGACTTTTAGAGAGGAACTGAGTAACACAGATGGACTGTTGTTCAAAAATCGTAAACTAATAGTCCCAAACAAAATGCGAGA